AAATGGGTAATGCAGGAGGTGCTGGAGAAGTAGATAAAGAAACAATTTTCATAAGCTTTGATTTAGACTCTAAGAGTTTGGAAAAACTAGTCGTTGGAGAGCTTGAGACTCATGGTCCTTTACCCAAAGCAGTTTCATAAAGGTGATCAATTACTTAAACTCAACTGTGATGAACCCTGTCTCTTGTCCAAAATGGCAGTAAATTATCTGTGTTTTTGTAAAACTAGAGTTCTATTTAATTGTCGCAGTGAGCATACATATTTTATTAATCTCTGCGTGAGCACTTAGCACATACCTGGTGCTCCAAAGTGTTTCTTATTTTGAAATGGGTTAAACTTAGTTGACCTATCTGTGTGGTGGTTTGGCCAATAAAGGAAGCCAATACTAAAAATAGAAGAAGCAATTTTGAGGGAAAATCTCTTGCAATGAAAAAGCTCTTTCCCCTCACTGTGGAAGTGAGTATGGATTTCTGCTCCAGGACTCTTCTCGCTGCCATTGAAAAGCTGCTGCCTCCAATGGTACATAAGTTACCTTCGTTTTCAGTTTTTTTGATATCAGAATTAATTTCAGGCCACTTGTTGTGGCTTCAAACCAAAGCATTTGTGACAACAACTCAAGAATGAATTAAAAAAAAAAAAAAAAACAGCCAGGCGCGGTGGCTCAAGCCTGTAATCCCAGCACTTTGGGAGGCCGAGGCGGGTGGATCACGAGGTCAGGAGATCGAGACCATCCTGGCTAACACGGTGAAACCCCGTCTCTACTAAAAATACAAAAAACTAGCCGGGCGTGGTGGCGGGCGCCTGTAGTCCCAGCTACTCGGAGGCTGAGGCGGGAGAATGGCGTGAACCCGGGAGGCGGAGCTTGCAGTGAGCGGAGATTGCGCCACTGCACTCCAGCCTGGGTGACAGAGTGAGACACCGTCTCAAAAAAAAAAAAAAAAACTTCCCAAAACACAACATGCTCTTTTTATAAAAGGCTTTTTTTTTTTTTTTTTTTTTGTGAATAGATTTCCCATACTCATAGATTAATGATTCTTTAGGTACTTTTATCAAGTAGATAATTTATACCCATATTAGAATAAGAGGTAATCTTTCATAAAGGTAATGATATCTGACTGGGAGGTAGGCCAAGACTATTTCCTGTATCACAACTTATACTGACAATGGTAACATTATCATCTGGAATCTGCCGGTGCAAGCAAAGCACAGATCATGCTACAGGAGCTTCTTGAACCTAACAATCACAGGCCAGCACACATCCAATTCTGCCTTCCACTACCTCCTATGATCCTTGGGCTAGTCACTCAAATTTTCTGACCTCTTTTCTTCTCTGGGAAATCAGAGAAGCTAATACATGCCTTGTAGGATATTTGTAAGAATGAAACCTAATGACATGCGTGGTGTGGAGGGCTTTCACACCAATTTATTGCTCTCTTTCTCTCCCCTTCCTGAGAGAGGATCCTGAATAAGATAGCAAATAAAATGAGAGAGACTTGGCTGGCATAACCCATAAAAAAAGACCATCAAGATGAGCAAAAACGTGGATTGTTGGTCTTGTCGATGCTTTTCTTTGAAGGTTCTGAAAGACCTAAAACTGCCTTCCTCTGCACACGGGAGGGAGGAGGGAGAGAAGGAAGCAAAGGAAAAAGTACCAACAGAGAAGTGACAGCAGTTTCATCATGGGTGCACTCTGTGAACTAGTAGGGCAAAAGGAAAAGTAATCAATAAATATGTACTGAGCACTAATTACGTTCTATGCTCTCAAAGAACATTTTGCCCAGAAGACATAAACATGAACAAATTATAAAATATACTCAAGACACACTAGAGGTGAAGGAGCAGAGAGCGATTCACCATTAACGTGTATGGAAGAAGGTATCCATGAGAGACTGAGGAAATATTGCTAGACCAGGACACAAACACCAGGCAAGGCTACCAGAGCACGGGGCTGGTGAGGCAGGTGCAGCAGGAGGCCCATGACACTGAGGTGTGCAGACTCTCAGCCCTCCTGGGTCTCCACACCTGGCTCAGGCCCTCCCCCAGGCCTTGCCCCACTGCTGGTCTCATTCCTCTCCACTGCTATTTACTCACTTCTAGAGAGTCCCAGAACCTGCAACTCCTCACTCTTTACATGGTTAGTGCCTGCAGATCAGGGCCTCTGACATTTGAATTCTTTCCTATTTTTCCAAACTTAGCACAGTATAGGTCCTCAATAGATGCTTAATGAATAAATCAGAACTGCTGTGATACTCCCCCTTCTATGGGCCCTGTGGTGCCTCCGACCCAGACCCGCCCCTTCACTCCATTCTTCCCTTGTGGACTCACTCTCATACTTGCACTGCAGACCTCAGTTCTCAGCTCCCTGCAGGGTGCCTAACTCCACTGCCCTGCTGCAGGCAGATACCCCATTAGACATCTCATGGCATAGTGTGCTCCTTCATATGTGTTGCAATTTAACATTTATGTGGACAATTGTTTGATAAAGGCACACCTCTCTTCACTGCACGATAAGGTAAGCACCCAGGAGGACAGAGAATATGTCAGTTTTTGCTCACCAGTATAGCCCACACTTAACACAGTGCCAAACATAGGGTAGAAGCTCAATAAATAAAAAATGGAGAAAGAAAGTTAGAAAACAAAGAAGTGAGTAAAGGAAGAGGATGGGGAGAGGAAGGGAAGAAGGAAGGAAGGAAGGAAGGAAGGAAGGAAGGAAGGAAGGATGGAAGGAAGGAAGGAAGGAAAGAAGGAAGGAGGGAGAGAGAGAAAGAGGGAGGGAGGAAAGAAGGGAGGAAAGGAGTGAGTGAGGATGGGTGGGAGGGAGGAAGGAAAAAGGAAAGAAGGAAGGAAGGAAAGAAGGGAGGAAGGAAGGATAGAAGGAAGGGAGGGAGGATGGGTGGGAGAAAAGGGAGGGAGGGAAGAAGGAAGGAAAGAAGGAAGGGAGGGAGAGAGGGATGGAGGGAGGGAGGGAGGGAGGTGGGGGGACAAAGGAAGAAAAAAAGGAAGAATAGTTAGACATGAGTTTGGTCAAGTACATCAGGCAAGAATATTCTTAGATCTTACCCAGTTAAGGACCCAGTGGCGGTTTTAGGCCAGTAATTTAAGAAAAACACAAACAGCAAATTGGAAGGGAGAAAGGTGAAAAATAAGAGGCAAAGTCCACCCGTAGAAGAGAGAAGACATAAGCCTCAACCAAGGCAGCAGTTATGTGAATAGTGCATAGGGTTAACATTTAGAGGGTAAAATCAACAGGACTAGATGTCACTGGTGTTTACCTACAGCTTCATTCTCTGGAAGTCAACTATGGTTTCAAAGCCACAAGGTATTTTGTTTCTCAGCAGAACACCAACATCATAAAACAAAAATCTGTAATGAGTAAAATTGCTCTATATTCATAGTAACAAATTAGAACACATTTAGAATTCAGTAATAGCTTGATTATGCATGATATGAAAGCATCTTAGGCCGCAAGTCCAACTCCATGAAACCCCCTTTTAGGAGATCATGCAGTTACTTAGCAGAGGCTATCTTTATTTACTTATTTATTTTATTTTATTTTTTTGAGACAGAGTTTCTCTCTGTCGCCCAGACTGGAGTGGAGTGGCATGATCATGTCTCACTGCAGTCTTGATCTCCTGGGTTCAAACGATCCTCCTGCCTCAGTCCCCTGAGTAGCTGGGACCACAGGCGCCCCAATGTCTGGCTACTTTTTGTAGTTTTTGTAAACACAAGATTTCTATTAAAAAAAAAACCCAGCTGCTTTTGAACTCTTGAGCTCAAGCAATCCTCCTGCCTCAGCTTCCCAAAGTGTTGGGACTACAGGTGTGAGTCACCATACCTGGCTGAGGCTATCTCTAAGAGAAGGAAAGTAAAGCAGAAATTGATTAGCCCCTGCAGCAAATTGAGAGCCATCAAATGCTCCCAAGGCCATTTGAATGCAGTCTGTTCAGTTACCTACACCTCTGCGAAATGGTGAAAGAAATAAAAAAGACAAGTTTAAAAATCAAAATAGAGGATGGATGCATTTAACAGAGAAAAATAATAACTTTATTATTTCCACAGGTAGAATTAGATTATGTCAAAATGGAGAGATGGCATGTTTTTAAGTCTATGATTTTCTTCTAGTGAGGCAATGTCAGTGTATCCCAGGAAAATACCCAGTAATTCTACTGAACACTGTATATTTACACAGGTTCAATGTACATTTTATAGTATGTTACTCCAATTTACAACAATTTATATACTTATTATTTCTCACAACCTTCTCACATGTGTAGCCTACATTAATGCCCTCTTTTTATGTTATAGAAAAGACAAGTAATTACTGTGAATAACTTTCATTAGACTGTGGATCACGGCATACACCTCATTAAACTGTCCTATAATGGAGTGTGTGCTGACCATGTTTTGGATATCTGTTTCAAATTTATCTTGACAAATGGAGAAATATTCAATACCAACCAGTATTAAATACATTAGGGATGTGTATGAAATATCCATTCATACATGCACTTGTAATGTCCTAAATCAATTACAATTAAAATATATTATTGTTTTCAGTGATTAAGCAGTTATGCTAGATAGATTTGCTTTTTGGAGTTAGTGACAAATGTCAGTGAAATTGACATTTCAGTCAACTGATAAATTAATACACTGATAGTTAATGTACATTGCATCTAACTATTCTATAACCAAGACGATAAGCGGACCTCCTACTGTATCCAAAGGCTATTTTGAATTTCTATGTAAAAATTGAATTCAGTTGCATTGTGAGGGACACCATGTCATCATAGACTTTTGAGCATGTGGCTTTGATCTCACTGTACAACATTCATTACGTTGTATTTTCCACAGATAATCACTTCTGAACAAAATTTAATATTTGAGGGCTAGAAAAGCAATGCCACATTATATCAGAAGGGGCCACTTAGAAATATTTTATTTATATTCTTATAGAAATGTTGCATTGTTTATATGAGGAGAAATGATAAAAATAAGACTTACCACCATTATGTATCGAGGTCTGTACTGAATGGTTCCAAACAAACCCAATATGACAACTATTATGTGCAGAAAATTTCCAAGAATAGGAGCCCACTGGAAACCAAGGAAGTCAAAGATCTGCCTCTCTAATGCTGAGATCTACAACAACAACAACAACAACAAAAACAAAGTTCATTAGTATCTAATCCAAGCATCATCATATTATTTTAATCTTTATCTCATGGCTGGAGGAATCTGCATATTCAACTTCAATCGCACTTTTTGTCACCATTATTATTAGAATTTTCATTCTTATTTCATGTACTGTTTTCTGCACCTCCTCAGAAACTATACTAAGATAGTTTTGAGCATTATAACTTCAAGTATAAATAGATTTTAAATCTATCTGGAGAGTTAGAGATACACTTCTTAAATCATTTTCTACAGTAGAAATTCTAGACAGATTTTTTAATGTTTTAAGTTCATCATTTTTATTTTTATATTAAAAATTACGTTTAATTATTAGGGGTACCTGATAGGTATATATATTTATAGGGTACATGTGATGTCTTAATATAGACATACATATGTAATAATCACACCAAGGTAATTAGAGTATCCATCACCTCAAACATTCCTCTTTTCTTTTTGTTAGGAACGTTCCAATTCCACTATTTTAATTGTTTTAAAATATGTGATAAATTATTGTTGACTACAATCACCCCGTTGTACTGTCAAATACTGGATATTATTCATTCTATCTACCTCTATTTTTGTATTTATTAACCATCCTCATTTTATCTTCTTCTCCCCTTCCCAGCCTCTGGTAACCATCATTCTACTCTCTATCTCCATGAGTCCAATTGTTTCAAATTTTTGCTCCCACAAATAAGTGAGAACATGTGAAGTTTGTCTTTCCGTGATTGGCTTATTTCATATCATTATTTTTAATAAAACGATTGGCTTAGTATAACATCATTGGATCAAATGGGCTTGCGACACTAGAACTAGTATAATTTTGGAAAACAAACAAAAAACAAAAACTCTTGCGTATCCCCGCTTTCCTGTGTGAAATATACATTAGCCAAATCTGTTCTCTTTCTTTTCCTTTCCTCAGATCGCCAATGCTGATAATGACTAACTACCTGTTCAAAACGGAGCTTACTCATTTAGTTACTCTGGACTCAAGACTCTGATCTAAAGCTAGAGTTAAACCCTTTGAATCGCATTTTATTGAGATCATATACCGACAAGAAAATTCATCTTGGATTAGATAGCTTCCTTTTAGAATACCAAATAGAAATTATGAGGTCATTAAAATTTTAGACATGCCACAGTTTATTATAATTGTATTACATACATCTTGACATTTTAAAACAATTATAAAATGTGTCAATATATACACAACCATTTATGATGAAACAGATGCATTTCATATGGTCCAGTGAATACCAAAAATGCCATTATCATGTTCTAACAGTATTTCTTGTATTCTACATTGAAAAATTTTACAATATCACCTGCTGTATTTGGTCATGAATCATTACACATTTCAGGCATTTTTCTAGTTTTGTATTGATAAAATAGTAATTCTAATAAAATGATCCAGTGATTAGCCATACTGATGGCACTGGAAACTGTAGCTTTGAAAAGAAATTGGCACCCTAGGTATTTTTCTAGTTATGTGACAGGTGTATGCTTGAATAGCTTTAATTTTCTTGGACATAAAGAAATGTCCTCTATCCAGTAAGCTGAATTTACCTTGGTCAAGATTTGCCTTTAGCAAGCTGTGGAGGAAAAGAGAAGAGAGCGAATGCCTAAGGAAAACCACACCAGATCCACATTCATTTCACGGGTATTTCCTGATCATGGCGTGATATGATTCAGGATGCATTCAGGATTCATCTCCTGAATCCATAAATGTTCAGAAATGGTTAAAACGCAAAATATCAAAGTAAGGAAAGAAGCAGCAGCACAGTGTTTTTTACCTCCTGCTTGTCTCTGCTTGTGACTCTAATTAGACCCTAGGAACCTTTCTCTAAAAATTAGTTCCTGGGAACCTTTCTATGCAGCATTTTATTTATTGGCCCATCAGTGACACAAATATGTATTTTTTAAATGTCCAAACATAATTAAATACTAAAAAAAAAAAAAAAAAAAAAAAAAAAGAAACCCTGAAGAGCAGCTGCAGGCCATTCATTCTGAAAAACAATGCTATTTTAAAGCAGTTGTGCATGACAAAAACCTTTAAGGTGAACTTTCAAAGAGAAAAACTCATTTTCTTTTCTGTCAGTAGATGCATGGAGAGCATTCTCTTTTATGATATTAAAGAAAACACAGGTAATGAAAGAGAAGCCAAATTAATGCCACCTATGAGAAAATATGCATTTTATATTCAAGGCACGCTCTCTATTTATTAATATTTATTCCCTGAGAACTTAAAAAAATGAATTGAGGTGGGAAGAAATAAGAGTACAAATAAAAAGACATGAAAAACAGAGAAGGGAGCATATCGAGAATATGGAGAAGGGCAGCTGTAACAACTACACAAACTGTGAAAACTAGATTTGATTATTACAATTTTGAAAAGTTAACCAACAACAACAAAGACTTCAAAAATAAACAAAATACCATTGTATTTTTTACCTAATTTTTCTATTTAACTCACATTTTGGTTATTTAGCCATTTGGTTTACTGGCTAGTATTTTCTCTCTAAATGTCATAATCTCTAGAGACACAACTTTTTGCCCTTGACTGTGATGTTTATAATAATGACCCAGAGACCCCAAATAAGATGAAATTATATCCAAGTTGCTTTGTTAAGTTGGAAAATAGATGACTGTTCTTTAGAAGTATCTCTGTTAAAATGACTAATTTGTGGTGTTGGGGAGATGCTGGCCTCGGTTGGGGGGTGGGAAGAAGGGATCTTTTCCCCATTCTATGGTCAGTGACCTCAAGTTGGGAACTTGATGTCTGTCATGATGGGAATATTTGCAAAATGAAAATCAGAAAATGCTAAAAATTAGAATTAGTTTATATGTATGTTTCGAGAACCAATGTTAAACTTTTACCTGCACATCACTGAATATGGCACCTAGAAAACAGTCATTGTGATCCAGAAGAGCAGTGGAAGGAAGTCACTAAATTGTAATGTAGCATAAATAGAAAGCAACCAGTCCAGATGAGGGCAGAAGGGTAGAGGACTGAAAGTGGATATGTGTAGAGATGCCCAAGTGAAGAGAATGAATGAGACTTTTACAGAGCTTGAGTTTAAATAAAAGTAGAGAAATAAAGAACATATAAAGGCAATAAGATGCTCCAGAGAATGTGAAATCAACAGACCTAAAGAAAAACGCATCATTTGCCCGTGTTTTGATCAGATAATTAGATTTTTTAATAGAGATGTTTGAGTTCCTTATATATTCTGAATTATTAACCCCTTGTCAGATGGGAAGTTTGCAATTTTTTTCTCCTATTCTGCGGGTTGTCCCTCCACTTTGTTGATTGTTTACTATGCTGTACAGAAGCTTTTTAACTCAATGTGATCCCATTTGTCAATTTTTGGTTTGGTTGCGTGCACTCGTGGGATATTACTAAAGAAATCTTTGCCCAGTCCAATGTCCTGGAGAGTTTTCCCAGTGTTTTCTTCTAGTAGTTTTATAGTTTGAGATCTTAGACTTAGGCCTTAAATCTATCTTGATTTAATTTTTGAATATGTCAAGAGAGAGGAGTCTGGTTTCATTCTTCTGCATATGGATATTCAGTTTTCCCAAACCCATTTATTGAAAAGATTATCCTTTCCCCAGTTTATGGTTTTAGCATCTTTGCCAAAAATGAGTTCACTTTAGATATATGAATTTATTTCTGGGTTCTCTAGGCTGTTCCATTAATCTATGTGTCTGTTTTTATGCCAGTGCCATGCTGTTTCAGTTACTATAGCTCTGTAGTATAATTTGAAGTAATGTGATTCCTCCAATTTTGTTATTTTTGTTAAGGACAGCTTTGGATATTCTGGGTCTTTTGTGACTACATATACATTTTAAGATTGTTTTTTCTATTTCTGGTAGAAAGCACATCAAATCTGTGGATTGCCTTGGGTAGTGTGGACATTTTAACAGTATTGATACTTTCAATCCATAAACATGGAATATCTTTCCATTTTTTGGTGTCCTCTTAAAATTTCTTTCATAAATGTTTTATAGTTTTTATTGCAAAGATCTTTCACTTTTTTTGGTTAATTCCTAGGCATTTAATTTTATTTGTAGTTATTATAAATGGGATTACTTTCTGGGTTTCTTTTTTAGATTGTTTGCTGTTGGCATATAGAAATGCTACTGATTTTTGCATGTTGATTCCGTATCCTGCAACTTTACTAAATTTGCTCATCAGTTTTTATATTTTTGGTGGAGCCTATAGGTTTTCCCAAATATAAAATCATACATCTGCAAGCAAGGCTAATTTGACTTCTTCCCTCCCAATTTGATTCCTTTTATTTCTTTCTCTTATCTGATTGCTCCAGTTAGTACTTCTGGTACTATCCTGAATAACAGTAATGAAAGTGGGCATCCTTGTTGAGTTCCAGGTTTTAGAGGAAACACTTTCAGTTTCTCCGCATTCAGTATGATAGCTGTGGGTCTGTTGTATATGGCTTTTATTTGTTGAGGTAATTCCTTCTATACCTAGTTTTTTTAAAGGTTTTTTTTTTTTTTTTTTTTTAAATCATGAAGGGATGTTGAATTTTATCAAACACCTTTTCAGCATTAATTGAAATGATCATATGGTTTTTGAGTTACTTCTCAAAAGAAGACATATAAATGTCCAACAGGTATATAAAAAGTGGTCAACATTACTGCTCATCAGAGAAATGCAAACAAAAACTACAATAAGATATGATCTCACCCCAGTTAAAATGGATTATATCCAAAAGACAGGCAATAGCAAATGCTGGCAGGGGTGTAGAGAAAAGGGAAACCCTGTATACTGTTGGTGGAAATGTAAATCATTACAACCACTATGGAGAACGGTTTGAATTTATTTCTAGGTTCTCTATGCTATTCCATTAAACTATGTGTATATTTTTATGCCAGTGCCATGCTGTTTCAGTTACTATAGTTCTGTAGTATAATTTGAAGTCAGGTAATGTGATTACTCCAATTTT